TGGACCAAGCAGTTATCATCCCCTTCTCTCCTTCAATAGCCTCTCTTGACTCACATTCTCCAGCGCAGCAAGCAGGGTCTCCACAGGATGTGAGTAGGGAGTTTCAAGCAAACCTTGAAAATGATTGTTCCCCACCCATGCTGTAAGAGTAAGTAGGGCAACAGAGGAGCCTGACTCAAATTCTTGTAAGCTCAGATAAACAAGAAAGTGCAGCTGTGGGCAGGAGGCAGAAACAACCCCCTACCCCACAAAAAAACTTTCATGTTTGCAATGGTCGAAGAGCTCAGCTAACAGACAGCAGCTCACTAAGCCACAACTACCTCCTGCTCCTCACAGCAGCAGCAAAGAAACACACTTGCAAAGCCACACACAACCTGGTGGGCTGCTCAGCAGCAAGGATGTGCAGGACTGATTTCAGAGCGCAAAAGCAGGGATCATCACAAAGGCTGCAACAACATCCTTCTGGGCCTATTTGAGAACTAGCCTTATAACCTGCCCTTGTCCAAGCTAAGGACAGCAGTGGGATTTATTCACTAAATATCCTGAATTTCTCCCAGCACTGCCCTTTTGAAACCACGCAGGGAATCAGAGAAATCACATCCTCTTTTGTTCCTTAAGCATTCTTAATATTCTATTATTTAAATTCCTTTTTCAGAACTTTAATGGAAGGCAGTTCTTGGATACCCATTCTCCATTGCAGATACCTCAGCAGGGAGCATGGATAAACGGATTAGCAGCAAGTCAGTCTTTCAGCACGCCCTTTGGAGCCTTGGCTGAGATTGTGCAGCTCATACCAGTTCTTTGGCTGATCCTCTGATAGCTGAGAACTGCAACAGCCATAAACATGTTGCACTCTTCTTTGGGAACTTCATGTCCATCATAGCAGCATGAACAACTATCTTGTAGGCTATTTAAATTAAGAAGAAAAAATCTCCCTCTCAGGTATATCTTTTCTGATTATTTTTTTTAATCTCTTAACATAAATCTCACAAATGATGCCAAGTGGAATGCATGCCCCTCACATGGCTCAGGAGAGCACACACTCTGTGGGGAATTAAGGTAAGTAGGGAGGGGGTTTGCCTGTGATGCTGAGCTGAGACTTGTTTCCATTCCTCTCCACCTCTTAGGTCCTCTCTCTCTGCCTGACAAGGACAGGGCAGGAGGTACACCACAAGACATAGTCCTACTTCTCATGCATCAGGGCTTTGGTTGTGTGCTGGAAATGGAATGTCTGAATCTGATGTTACCTCAAGAGATGAGTCAGCAACAAATTGTTATGTCTTTATTTCTCATCTTTAAAATAAAATTGAGAAATCCACATGTAACTTCCTTCACCTTGCATACCAGCTCCTCCTCTCTTCTTACTCACCTCATCTCCTTTGCATTATACCTCAGTCACTTAGTCATGCCTAAAACTACACTTTTGTAACCGTGACGTAACGTGCCTCCTCTTCTAAGTGATAGAAAAATAAGAGTGTTATATATATTATATACTATATATAATATTATATACATTTATATATATATATACACACTAGAAAATAATATTTAAGCTTCCCCCCCTTCACAATCTGGTTCATGTATTCCTTACAGCTCCATGACCTGGAAGTAACCCCACAAGACACAGTAATCAAAACTTGGAAACATTAAGGCTGCCTTTAAGGGGGAAAATAAAATAGAAAAGGAAAAATAGCAGCAATAATGAAGCTTGTCTGATCAAGCAGAAAGAAGATTGCTTAACTCAAAGGATTTGAGAGTAGCTTAAAAAATACTGGTTCTTCCATTCTTGTGCTCTCTTTTCTCTCTTGGAGGGCTACAAAAAGACTCATATATAACACATATCAGCTAACTACAACAACTAATCTGTGCAACATCTGAGCCAAGACGTATGTCTGGATGAACCTGCTGAGAGCCAGTCCGTGTCAGAGCTCCATTTCAAGTCTGTGACACTGCTGCATTTGTTGACCAGCAGTGGCTTCTTTCAGTTACAAGAGCCCTACCGGCCTTCACTGTGTGCCAGTGACCTTCCTCTGCAGCACAAGTAACCACCGCCTAGTGAAAAATCAGGAGACATAGGTGCAATATCAATAGGAGGAATATGAGAGACACTGGCCACAACTGTTAGAGGCCATTTCTGCTTCTCTGAAGGTGGTTCTCTCTGTGGGGGGAAAGCTGCTCGCAGCAGAAGCTCTCATCTCTATGGGTCCGTGAGGAGCAGCACCCAACCTCAGCCTCGCTCGTTACTCATCCTACCTCATAGAGGCTCTGCCTCTCAGAGCTTGCCAAACCTCCTCTCGCTTCCTGCACTTCTGCTGTAGAAGCAGCACTATTCACCCCACCAGGGTAGATAAATAGGATGCAGCATCTGATACACATCAACCACGAAAGCGCCCATCTCCCTCGAGCAGCTTGCTACGCTTGGCACATAGCAGCATGAGTGTTTCTATGTCATGCAGGCTTGGCCAGCTGCACACCCCAGACATGCAGGCATTGCCTGGAAAGGGTCCAGCTAACTATGAGAGTTGATGTGCCTGCAATGGACTTGCTGGATCAGCTTTGAGCTGGATCACATAGGAATAGAATGCCTGCACAGATGAAGAAAGGCTGTGAGCCACAGAAGACCCCCAGGCACTAGGAGCTGACCAGAAGGTGCTTCACAGGAGTTGCTCTGGACTCATCACTTCTCAGCTGTGTTCTCTACAGAGGAGAAGTTCCCTGGAGTGCTATTAAACACTGCCCAAGCCCTGCAGTACTTCCACACGTGGCCCAGGCTCTTCCATTAGGACAGAGGAGCTTGGCTTATACAGACAGCTAGGATTGTTCAGTCTGCAGGAGGCTCAGAGGAGACCTTACTGCTCTCTACAACTGCCTCAAAGGAAGCTGTGACAGGGTGGGGTTCTGTCTCTGCTCCTGGGTAACAGCGACAGGACGAGAGGGAGAGACCTCAAGCTGTGCTAGGGCAGGTTCAGGCTGGATATTAGGAAACATTTCTTCTCAGAAAAAGCAGCCCTTTCCAATGCACCACCATTCTGAGTGTGTTCCCTCAGTCACAGAAGCATTAACAATGCCATCATTAAATAAAGAATTTAATGCTAACATTTAAGCAAATACTCCAATCAGTGAACAGCGTCTTAAATAATTAAACTGATGGCTTTAATAAAGCTGCTCTCACAAGCAGTCTGTGAATCAACCCTGTGCAGTTTAAAATTGTATGCTTCCATCACGACCTTTGAATCTTCACGACGTTGAATCTTCAGCCACAGCCCATGAGCTCAGCTGTGGGTTTTCTACATTCAGGTTGAAGCGATGTTTGAGAACGGGATCGCAAGGCAGAAGCACGCCTGTTGCTGGCATCTGTGCTGCAGGCTCCACGCAGTAGCAGCTGCTCTCTGACTCAGGAGCAAGGCTCATAGCTTTGTCCCACAAGGAAAGGCAGCTCTGTCCACTTCGAGACCCCAGCTCGACTTACAAAACCATCCACCTCACCACACCACTATCTCTGAGACTTGCAGGTCTGCATTCCTGTCAGCACATCAGATAAAAACGTTAACAGATTCTTGTCCCCTCCTGATGTGCAGTGAGAACAACTGCCACATCCTGCCCCAGAGCTCAGGTTCATGGCTGAGCTGCCTTGTGCTGATTTATACAAAGCTTTGGGAGCTTTTCAACCCTTCGCTAATACAGCAATAGTAGAGTGCATAAACTCAGCATCAGTTTCCTTTGGGTGCTGAATGCTCTTTATCTCTCTAAGCTGTTCCTTACCAGCAAAGAAAAGAAGCACACAACGTGCTCAGAAATTGCTGCAAGCATACAGATGTATAAAGAGAGATGCACAGTCATTCTTCAGATGGATGTCTAGAAAGCAACACAGCATAAAGAGCAGGAGAAAAGGGAAGAAGCTTCCAGCCTTTCCTTAAAAGATTGAGTCCAACACCTCTGTATCTGCACTAAGTGGTTTGCCCCTCTGACAGCAGGAGACGGGTGCAGTGGGAAAGCATCAGCTAAGCAAAAAAGATTCCTAACTGTTGACTTTTAGAGGCACTTTTCTTCCTGAGAAATGCAATGGAAAGCTCCACCGTGCAGCAGGGCCAGTTGTGTGAGCAGAGGCATAGTGTTCACCTCACCTGTCTGCACCAATGGCCTCGTCCACTTCTGGGTTTCAAAGAAACTACCACAAAGCTATGCTACCACAAAGCAAGCAACCACAGGCCATACACCACAGAGCAGAGGACGGCACCAGAGAAAAGGAAATAAATGTTGCATGCTGTGGGAGAACCACTGTTTGAATTGCAAGAAGACTGGACCACACGCAAAAATGATGCAGCACAGCCTTTTTGTACTGCCAAGTGACAATATGGCAAGTTGAGGTTAATCCTTGCAAGGAAAAAGCTTTGTGGACCAGTGCTGGAGTGAGCAAATGTTATTTAACACTAAGTATGACTTCCTCTCTTTACCCCTCAGACTGCCATGTGATGTGCTGCTGGGGCTGGAGGCACCGAGAGGAGTGTGGTGCTCTGGGGGATGGCAGCACTTGTGCTCAGCAGCCAGTGGTCTGCCTCCCAGAACACTTCCAGCCAAGACCTGGGGGCGGGGAAAAGCTTGTGTCCAGCTCCAAACACCACTACCTCCAGCATGCAGGGGAGAGCTCCCAGCCACCCACATCCGAACCACAGCCCACAAATAACACCCAGAGCAACTTTCCACCAATATTTCTCTCAATTTGAGCTCAACCCTGCATTTCTAGATCACTCCTCTCCATGACGGTCAAATGGAGCTGCCCAGTCTGAGCTGCCCACCTCACACCTTCCTGATCCCCAGATCTCAACAATTTTCATTGCCTGAAAACTCATTGGCAGGGACCCAGCGCCCCACCAGGCAGGGAGCAAAATTTTCTGGCACACTGCTAGAGGTAGAGCAGGGTCCTGTCCACTGACCAAAGGCGTTCCGGGCTTTGGCCATTGCAAAAGCCTTCTGTCCCACGTAAGGAGAATACAGTGCCATTTCCTAGAAAAATATACCTTTATTTACCATCTGTGTTTTGCCCAGGAGAGAGCAGCCCATGCTCAGCTAGGGCTGGTTTGCTCAGGTCCTATCAGTGAGAAGGGTACCTGGCCCCTTATGCTGTACCCACCACCATAGGATGGGGAGGATTCAGCAAGACCTTGTTTTCACCACAGGGCCAGGACCCCTCACAACATCACCACTTCCAGCACATTCCTTGCAAGGTGAGTTAAATAAAGGGGTGGGGATATTTTCTGGGAAGGGAAGAGTCAATAATTTAACACAAAACAAACCTACCATGCTTAACAAGCCAACTGGTAGGTGGGTGCCTGTCAGACAATTTACAGTGCCAAGTGTCCAGGTGGGATGGGCAGACCATTGCTCAGGGGAAGCAGCCTGAGCTCACTCCTACATCACCACCGATGGCGTGGCACAGCACAGCTCAGACTGAGGGCCTCTTGGACACAGGCCAGCTGTCCCCAAATGGCCTGAGCTGACGGGGGGCATAACAGCATGTGTGGGCCAGTGCCGCTGAGGCCCTGGCACTTTCTCAGGTAGCAGTCTTCTCGAGCAAGTAGTGAGTTTCAACAGGGTCTTTGATGCACTACGTTTCAGGGCTGTGGTTTTATTCAGAGGAAGAAAATGCGTGATTCTCTTCAGATAGCCACAGGACAGCCCAGGTGCTTCCTAGAGGTCTGGATTCAAGCTTTTACCTGTTGCTTGAGCCTTCTCATGCAGAAGGCTGAAACGTGGTGTCTTGATGGGTTTCCTAGAGTGAGACCCTGCTTTGGTTTTGGCAACATAGGACCGTTGCCTCTCAAGTGGCCGTCATGCCCTGCATGTCCCGGTGTGTGGGGTGCTGCCAGCCACATTTCAACAGCACCACTTAAAGCTTAAATAACCCAAAGAATGTCTTGGATTCCTCAAAGTTAACCAGATCAATTTTGGAAACGTTGACATACAGACTGTCCCTCTCCCTGAGCTTGAATAAAGCCCCCAGGTAGCTTTTCCGGGCCCACATCTTCTCCTTTGTACAGTAGTTGATGCGCTTGTCCTCCATCAGCACGTGGCTGCCTGGTGAAGCTGGGTTTCTCTTGTAGACAACGTGTGTCAGCACCTCGTTGTCACAATGCCTTCCCCGGAAAAGCACATTGGAGTACACAAAGTACAGACCAGTCTCATTGATCACAAGGCCCTGGGCACGGTACTGAACGCCACTGGTAAAGGCATGACCAGAGATGGGTTCCCACTCCAATGGGAGGTTCCGCTGCGTGGGGTTCCCTGGAAGCCAGAATGAGAGTGGAAGTGCAGTAAGTACAAGCACTAACGTGTTTTCCCTTCAGTTACACCCCAAGTCACAACCAAGTCACCTGTTCTCTGTGTCCTTTGTGCAGCATGAGAAGTCTACCCCAACCTCACGGAGGTGGGAGTTCTCACCTCCCGTGTGCTCAATTGGCACTGAGTTGCTTTTGAAAGCACCTCATTGACAAAAACAAAAAACAAAGGAAAAAATATATCTCTCAATAAAAAGCCTGAATAAGAGGAATATTTTAGCAGTGGAATAACTTCAAGTTGCCAGAGCACACGCATTTCTAAAGGAAAATGAGGAAGTCTGTGCAAGGCAGTTCCCTGCAATGACAGCCAAGCTGCCCCTTTCACCTCGGTAACATCTGCCCTGTTCTCTGCTCCCAAATCTTGCTGGCCCCTCAGCACATACCTGTTAAGTGTGCTGCCTTCCTTGCTTCCTTTTTCACCGGCTTGCTCCCCTGCCCTGCATGCAAACAGAGGAGACTTTAGCCCTATGCTCCATGGAGAAGCCAAACCAGTGAGAAGAACAGGTATCCACGAGGCTAAAGCGAGGTAGATTCCCAGCAGCAAAGAGCACATAGGCACCATGGCTTGCTGTAAAGAGATAGAAAGATGCTCAGCCAAATGCTACAGAACATTAGAGAGAGTTAGAAAGGAAGAGCTGAAGCAAAGGATCAGATGTGATCCAAAGCAAAGGGAAAAAACAAGACAGCAAGGAAAGTTTTCATCTTCAAATGACTCCACCAGTGAACTCAAGCAGAGGACATCCACTCAGGTTTAAGGAGAGGGATAATACAGTGCCTTTACATGGCTTCTTTAGTCCGTGTTGAGGTGACTGCCTGTGTCCTGTCACAGACATACCTGCTTTATTGCCCCACTCCAGCCCAGCACCTCCACGGCAGCGGAAATCTGGCTGCCAAGTACCAAACCTCCTTACAGCTGGACCAGAAAAGCTATTTGAGACATCCTGAAAGCACCTGCCTAGCCAGGCAGACCCTGTCCTCAGAAGGGCAGAATATGGGTAAGAGAATTCTACCTTCCATGGAGGGTCTGAGTCCTCCTAGAGAAATGGGCTGGTTACAGTGACGGGGCACAGGGACCCCATCCTACTCCATCTTGCCCATTCTCTCAGTGTCTACTTCTGAGCATCAAGCCCTCAAATTTTAGAAACATCTTGTTTGCTTAAGCCAGTTGTTTGTCCTTCTTTACAAAGATTTCATCACTAATAACACTAACACACATCTTAAAAATGACAGTTTGAAAGTTCAAAATACGATTTTAAAATTGTTCCATTGAGACTGAAACTACTTTTTCTTTCCTCTAAATTTAGGAAAAAAAAAAAAAAAGTAGGTTCTTTTGGAAAGTTTCAATTTCAGTGAAAAGACATTTTTTAAAGAGAATAAAATCACCATAGAATCAGGATCTTCTCACCTAACTCTGACTGCATCGAGACTTTGTACCAAAGGAATTTAGGAACAAAGTTGCTCTCTCTCAAGGGTACAAGCAGATCTTCCAATCCCAAGGAAAACAAAACTCTGTATGTCATCCCAAAAATCTTACAGACCAAAGAGATAAAGTGGTAACACGTGCATCTTGGTTCTCTGCTCTCCTTCTGTGCATGCTGTTGCAGTGCATTAGGACAGCCAGAAATTCACTTCCACAGCAGAATCCCTCTCAGTATCAGTGCCCCACTTGGGTCTGGGAGGCCCTAAAGCAGAAGCAAACTGTTCCACACTGACACCACTAAGCATTCCAGCAAGCAGGATGCAGGACCCCCTCCCCACGTGCTCTTCTTCAAGCGAGTGTAATGAGTACTTCCAGAGCATCAGAGCTGCACCCTTGCCTTTGCACCTGACAAGGGGAGGCAAGAATTTGGCAGGAACATTCACACACGCTGGCAAGGAGGAGTTCCTCTACGTACATCAACTCACCTATGAGCTTCTCCAGGGCTGGAGGGATGTGTTCAGTGCTGACAGACTGTCAAAAGAAGAGTGACAAGCTCCCTTAGCAGGGTGAGAGCACAAAAGCACCATCTAGATGCAGCCAGACTATCTCAACAACGGCTATTCTGAGTGCTCATGCAGAGCTGCAAGGTTAAGTGTACAGGGAGAGAGAGCCTGCAGCACTCAACCATCAGGACAACCAGATATGTACCACAGTCACCAACAGAGCAGTCCTTCACAGTAACAAACAGCCCCACGCACACTGGCATGGCAGACACATCACTGCCACTGTTTTCTCCCCACAGCCTGTGTGGCCAGCAGGCAGACTTTACCTCTCTGAGTTCAGCCAGTTCCTTCTCCAGGTGGAAAATCTGAAACATGCTCAGCCCCACTCCAGTGAGGGCCAGCAGGATCAGCAAGAAGATCACCAGGAAGCCGATGCTGCTCCTTTCTCTGTTGCTCTTTGGCTTTTTCCTCCGATCGGGTACCGGTGGAGGGAAGGGAGCAACAGGGGATGCTGGATGGCAGGAGGTACTGGCATCGGCACAGCCATCCACCCAAAAGATCTGGGGGTACATATAGTTCAAGTTCTGCTGCATGGCTGGGAGTGGGATGGGCTGGACGTGCTTTGTGTGATCTTCCATGTGGCAGCCAAAAACTGGCCCAGACTGAGCCCTGGGGGAAGACCCAGCTCCGCTTCTGTGTGCCTGCATCATCCCAGCTCAGATGCCGCAACTCTATGAAAGCCTCAAGCAGCAACAGCAAACCCCAAAAAGCTTCCGCCCTCGGCTGCAAGTTCACGGCACCCGCCTGCTCCTCCCAGCAGCAGCACGCACATGCAGCTGTACAGACCTAGTGGCAGGCTGCACTCACACAGCACCAGCCCCAGGAAGGAGGTGTACAGAGCAGCACGGTGCTGTCAGGCAGGGGCTGAGTAATCAGCCAGCCACCCTTTCCAGCAGCCCACTCAGGCAGAGGCAGCTGCTTTTCCACTGCGGTGTCCTGCACCACAAGCAGGGGGAATAACACTCTTCTGCTTCTGGCATCCTGCATGAGAGCTGAGAGACAGAGCTGAGTTTTCCCCTTAGCAGAAATATGAAGAACTTATATCAAGTACAGCAATAGGCACTCAAGAACTGCTTCGTTTTGCAAAGGACAAATTACTTACTGCCGCCTGCTGTCCTCTTCCAACTTGCAGCAGTGCTGGAGAAGGCAATTCTTGTTGCTTTTCAGTCTTCTCTGAACAACGGCGAGTGCTGCAGTAGGACCTCACCTGGCTGGGTGACTGATCAGACACTGCACTACTCATCTTGGTGGAACTTCCTTGCCTTTCAAGGAAGGATTCAGAGTTCAGGCACACTGCAGGGACCAGTGCTTTTAAAGGCTCACTGCCAAATCATGAGGAGAGAGAGCATCTCCATTTCTCAATTTAAGTCTTCATTGGCTGCTGATTGCTAAGTAGTGGCAAGGAGCTGTCCCATAACTTTCCCATAACTTTACACAAAAGACTGTCCATAGCTATTTGCTCTTTTGTTTCAGACATAATGAAGTGCATTTATAGGAGGGCAGTGTTTAAAAAATGAAATGCTTAGTGCAAGAACAAACGTAATTTCTGTCTCTTATGTGGCTGAAGAAAGCAGCCCCAACACACAGGTTTTGATCTTGAACATCAAGATCTGCAGTTCAAGGTTAGCATGCTCTAACAATGTGTGCACACTGGTTTCTCCAAAGCAAGGGCTGAGTTGTGCCTCCAACCACACCAATCAGTCAGATGTGCACCACCAGACACCCCGCTGCTTTTTGAGAACGCTCACCGCAGCTCCTTGCTGAAAAGAGAATCCACAGCACAAACCATTTCAGCAACCTCTAGGGTCTTGTACTTCTAGCTCTGACACAAAAAATAAAAGCAATTGAAATGCACCTCCAGCAGTTCAAGCCTACTCAATACTCCTTCTCAGAGCGCTGAGGACACCGCCCCTGTGACTTGCTGCAAAACAGACACAGGTGCCAGGAGTTCCTATTTCTTTAATGCCCTCTGAGGCCCTTCAACAATGCAAGGGGCAAAGCTGAGAGCTTCCTCCCTACTGAGCTCTCTCTTCAAATCAGGCAATCTCTACCTTTCCCTCAGGTGGATGGTCAGGTGTTTGAGTTGTCTTCCCCCTCCAGGCTGCCCTCTATGCCTTTCTGACACTGATTAATTTCAATGCGGACAGCTCATCTTGGTGGGATTGTAGGCACGTGAGCAAGATCCCTTAAACGTCACAGATGTGTTTGTCACTGACCCACTGCTTCCTATTTTCACCAAAATGCACATATATTTTTGTAATTCGTGGGTAAGCTGATGAAAGCCCTGTTTCGGCCATGCCTGCTGCATCTTCTCTATTCAGATCAAGAGCCCTTTAACACCACACGTTGTGGCAAACCAAAGACGAGGGTTATTTTACCATCAAAGAATCCACCTCGGTGCTGAGCACACTTTCAGAGACTTCTCCCTCCCCGGCACTCTCTGCCATTGCTGCCTGCTGTCACACTCTCTGTTTCACCTGTAGCCACCTTCAGAGGTCACCTGGTAAGCAGAGCCAAGTGGGAGCACATCCACGTGGCACATCACGACACCCGCAGGCTCTGCTTTCTGCTGCCTTCCTACTGCTCAAACCATACACAGGGCTAACAAGGGTTTTGAAGTGATGGCAGGACTGTTTGCTGCAGACAGACACCCACGTCACAGCAAGACTTTTGATAGAAAGCAAGGAACTGAAATTTCGGCAAAGTTGATCTCACCCAACATAGGAATCAGGAATAGTGGAGCAGGATAAAAGGACAGGAGAAGGGCAAAAAGAGCATCAGATTTCTCTCTCTGCCTCCTAAGCCCCTCTTTCACCACGTTTGTCAGCAAAGAACAGCAAAAGACAAGACCTGGTTACACAGGCAGAAAAAGACAACTTGCTTAGAAGGATCCCTCCACCTTTCACTATCCCCAGAGGAAAGGTGGCAGCTCTTGTTAACTGCACACATCATCAGGCTGAAGTTTGTGCTGACAGCAATTAGAATTAGCCAGCAGCTAAAAAATACATACAGGTACAAGTTTGCATGCAAGGATTTAAAGAACAATTTAAAAAAATGCTGTGTAGGAGGAAGACTTATTAGACTCTGGACATAGTAAAATATGTATTTGAAGATGATATTTCCTGTTACAATAATGACTAGTAGAAATGCTAAAAAGCAACTCTTGAAAGCCCACGGGGCAGCATAAATTACACCCAATAGCAACTGAAGATGTAGTTAAGAAAACGAACAAAAAGACGGCATTCAAAGGTAGGGTTGTGTTTGTTTGAAGCGTTAACTGCAGAGGTGACAACCTCTTGCTGTCCCAGGCTAGGCCTGGCAACCAGAGTCAGAGCAATACTGGTAAGTACCAGCCACACATGGCAAAATGGATGCACACCGTTCATGCTCACTAATGGGTACCTCAGAAAGAGAAACTGAGAGCACCACCCAAGAGAAGGCTTCTGGGGTTTTTTTTTTTTGCAGCAGGGAAAGCATGAGGGCCCAGGAGCTCAAGCTCACAGATAGCACCAGGCTAATACATGGGGAGATGCAGACAGCCTCAGAATGCATGTTACAAGTTTAAATTCAGCTTCAGAGAGGCTCAGAAAGGAGTGACAATAACTGACAGACAGCAGAAGCATCCCCTTTGGTTTATCTGAGAGCAGAATGGCAGGGACGCAACTGAGGATCCTACACAGCTCCACAGTGCTCCCAGCTGCCTCCTCCATATGGTAAGGCACAAGAACGGTGGATCCCACTGCACTCTCCTCATTTGACCCTGCTGCCCCAGGACAGCCCATGGAGACAGCAGCAGCTCACAGCATCCTTGGGTTACACAACGCTGCGGTGAGCGCCGACATCTCAGTGTTGTTTCTTTATTACGTTTTTTTTTTAACAGTTCAGTTTTCCAGCCAAGGGTGATGCTTTCCACTTCCCTCTACAGTCAACTCTTCACTAGAAACACGAGGCACATGTTGAGATGTGTGTTGGTACCAACAGCTCCCTAGAGAGCTGTTCACATTCACAAGAGAGCAGCATTCAAACCCCATTTCTGACCCCATTCAAACCCCCAGCTCTATGGCATCGCAATGCTTAGCACAGCCCTTTTCCAGAGAGCAAGACATTTTTCTCTCTCTTGTTCATTAAGCACATGCAAACTACACCCTGCTCCCAATGGGCCGGGATCAGCAGAAGGGGCACTGAGCTCTGCAGAGACCTTCCGAGGTAGGACAGAATCCAGCAGCACAAAGAGCCATTGCAGCCGAGAATTGAAAGCAGCAAAGATTCCATTTCTTTTGATTGCGTCTGTAATGAAAGCTAGGAAATTAAGTACAGGGCTGTGAGGTAATGGGATCGATTGCTTGAACATACGGGAAACAAAGACGCAGGTGATCTAATTGTATGCAACAGCCTAGTTATGAGAAAATGGAACAGCTGCTGTGGCTGCTCAGAGGTTGCAAGGAAGACCACAGCAAACACGCAGATGCTGATTTCCCGTTATCCCCAGACAGTCAGTAAGTGCATTCACAAACCCTTCAGGTGGGATCCACGCCCTGCCCCACGCTGCCAGCACACAGCCAGCCTCAGCAGTGGGAAACACCAGCTGGTTGTCAAACACTGACCATGCCTGTGCCGTAGCCCCCTGGGCAGCGCATGCAACCCTCAAGTCAGCAGTAATCGTGCCGTGTTACAACTTATAAGAGATGTTCCCCAGCTGTTTCAAGTTATATTTAATAAGAGTCATAGAGTTTCTTCTTTGCTGTGAGACTGCAGAGGACCCAGTAGGATGCAGGCTCTCTACCCAGCACACATCTAGCAAAGAAAAAACTAGTTTCAAGACAGCCAGCATTTATCTTCCATTTTTATGTCCTAAGGAGTCACATCAAAGAAACACAGAATGGTTGGGTTGGAGTGGACATTAAAGATCACTGAGCTCCACCCCTGCCACGGCCTGGCCGCCCCCAGTTCAGGCTGCCCCGGGCCCATCCATGGCCTGGGGCACCTCCATCTCTGGGTGGCAGTGCCAGTGCTTCACTTTTGAGTGAAAAACACTCCTCTAACCTCTCATCTAAATTTCCTCTTCTACTTTAAAATCCTTGCTCCTTGTCCTATCATTATCTGCCCATGTAAAGTTGGTACCCCTCCCACTTGTAGGCTCCACTCAAGCATGGAAGGCTGCAGTGGGCTTTCCCCACAGCCTTCTCTTCTCCAAGCTCAACAAGCCCAATTCCCTCAACCTTTCTTCACAGAAGAGGTGCTCCCAGCTCCCTGAGCATCTTCATGACCTCCCCTAGACCCACTCCACCAGCTTCACATCTTTCTTGTGCTGGGGCCCCTTTTATTATTTTTCAAATTGGGGAAGAGATGCATAAAAAAGATGCATAAAAAAGATAGGAAAAGATTTTTCCTATCCATTCCTAAGCTAACCCATTTTTATCTGAAAAAGGTCTGGAAACATTAGATCTTCTCAAGCCGATCCAAACCCCAGAAAGTTTTTCTTTAGCAACACCTGATGCTGTTTGACACTCAGGGTTTCCACAAGATAAGACACGCTGCTTGATGGCTGCCTACCCACAGCACTTTGTGGTCAGAGCTCTACGCTTTGTTCCAAAAGCAGTGGAACATTTGCACCAAAGTGAAGCATGTTAAGCTGTTCCATCCCATCTCACGCTGCACACCGGCAAAAGCAGAAGCCACCTTACACTTCAGTTCTCTCCCCACCACAGCTAAAGGAGTTCACATATTTAAAAGAAACTGCATTTCCACTCTGATGCTTAATGCATATAAACAAAATGTCTTATTTCAGCAAACATGGCTGAGCAATACCTTTATATGATGCATATGTTTGTGATTATCCCTTCTCTGATGGAAACACTTGTGTTACTTAAATATTTGGTGCCCCTGGGCTTGCATGAAGGGATCACAAAAGTGTTCCAAATTTTCCTGTGTGTGACAGCTTTGACAGCTTTTTGCAACAGGAAACAACAGCTCTCTGTGCTCTGACAGGCTCCTCAAGGTGAGCGCCTGGCCTGCTGGCTGAGTGTTGTGGTTTGTCTGTACAACCACCTCAGCACACTGAGGTTGTAGCAGAGCTCCAGAAGCTCAAACAGATCCACTGAACTCCCACAAGCATCCTGCTCAGGGCTCCCTGCCTGCCATCACCTCTACAGATGTACTACATTTATATCCTAAGAGATGAGACCCTTGGTTTCCATAATTAAGCAGCCAGATTTCTTGTTATACAGGCTGCTGCCAAAGTCAACAGCTTATTTACAGAGATATGCTTTAATGCAAAAGCAACTTCCTCATGGCTGTTCTAATCTGGTTTTGTTTTAAGCAATATAACAAATAAGGTTGGCACAATATAACTCAAAGACTCCAGAAATCCACAATGAGAGCCAGGAGGCCAATTCTATTCAATAACCACTTGGTTGGAAACTGAATTGGTTTTTGTTTGTTTGTTTCTAAAGCAGGGCATCTAATTTTAAGATTAGTTTAAAGGGGAAAAAAAAATCTTAGATAGAACAGCAGTTGGACACTCCTCTCTACATGCCCGAATCTCGAGAATAGCAGCAGCCTGAAGGAACACTGCACTCCAGTGGGAATCCTGAGAGCACATTGCTTTCACCACCCGATCTGTAGGAAGCAGAGAGAAGGACAGATGCTTGGGCAAGCTCTGAGCCACAGGAGGCTTGGGAACAATCACACACTGAGCACGTGCTGGGGAGAAAGGATACAGCCCTCGCTGCTCAATATGCATGCTGCTTTTATGGCATTTTACAGCACAAAACATACCACAAGACGGACCAGGCCCTCCTCTGAAGTATCCACAACGCCTCAGTGATTTGGCAAGCTTTATAAGCCACCTTCATGAGAAAGCGTCGTCTCTGTAGAGCACAAACAACTTAGGAGAGCCTTTATTTCAAAGAAATCAGGTTAGTCAGCGTGATATTAATAAAAGTGAAATAGGAAGCTAAAAATTACTCAAGAGCCCACATGAAAGGGTAACATTAAGCAAATGAGAACATGACTTTAGGAGCTTTTCTGAAAAAGAAAATAAAAAAGTGATTATAAATAATTAAAAGCAGCAAGCACAGCAAGAGGAAGCTGTGGTTCAGTTCCATCCTACTGCCAGAAGCAAATGCACAGCTGCAAGAGCACAAGCAGCCTAGGAGGCTCCTCCCAATGAGCCTTTCCAGCGGTTGAAGCACAATGTGGTCGGTTGGAAAGTTTAGAGCAAGGCACAGATGAAATGTTTGGTACTGTTTGGCAACAGTAATGAGAATATGGAAAGTTGCTCCTCAACTGACATGCACCAGCAGTGATCCTAGGACAGAAATATTTTATTGACAGGAGTCATGAGTGCTAACATCAATATCCACTAAGCAGCACAACAGGACTCTTAGGCTGATGTCTCTCACTGTACGTCCAGTTAATCAGACACTGAAGAAGTTTGCACTGTGGGCAATGCTTTCTCTCCCCATCACACCAGAGGAATTCATGCGAGCTCCTGTACTCTCCAGCCCAGAGGCAGCATTTCTCAGGAACAGTAAGGAGCCTTCAGGAAAGTGAAGCTACAAAGCTCATGACATTATAATGTGGGTTTCTTAAATACTGATTCTGAAGAATATCTTCAGAACTACATGAATACTATGAGGTCCTCCAAAGACAGTCTTGAAACATGAGAGACTGAGTGAGAAACATTCCTGACCTTACATTAGCTGCCCCTTATGGCACCTGCCACATCTCCCACATGGATTGCAAGCCACATGGCCTGAAATCACATAGCTGAAACAGAGCTCTGCTCTAATTTGGACATGCATTATTCCCATAGCATGTTGCCTGTACATTAAAACTTTATTGCTGGTATTTTATTTTATTTTTTTTTAACCAAACACAATCATTCCTTAGGTTATTAAGCCCTGCCCAGGTTTAAAATCAATAGATAGTCGGGAATACAAAACTGTTTGAAAGGAATTTAGTTGCACGCCTAAAATCACTGACAAGGAAATACGTACATCTGCTTGGAATTTAAACGTGCAGCCTACTCACAATTACCGACACCTGAGGTACAAAACAGATCTTAGCAGCAAAAGAAATCAAGAAGGTGCTTCAGTTCGAGGCCAAGTATCACCCACCCTGAAGAGGACGCGGTTGGTACATCAAGGTACACCAAGTGCTTTTAAAGCACTCTTATTGTATGAGGAAGCACAGAGGAGTGCTGCTGACTGCTCAGTTATTTCTACGTGATCCTCAAGGATAGCTCACCAGTGCTATGGGGTAATCTAGTCTAGGCAAAAGGGTGAGGAAAGGGCACAAGAGCTGTCCAGTCCAGCAAAACAGAGGAAGGATTCTGGCTGTCCACACACCACCATGGTTCCAGAGAAGCTTGGGTTTCACCAAGCCCTGAGCAGCTGCTTCCAGGAAAGGCAATGCCTCCTTGCCTCACAGCAATCCCCACACAACAGTTGATAAATACAAGACCACCACCATCTTTGATTTAACTTCAGTTTCACAAATTTTTTTTTTCCATCCAGAGCTCAGAGGCCAGCAATAACAAAGGATAAATAAAAACTTGATAGTTGGAAACGCATTTGACACTGCACATCCCATCATCAGTCATTTGGCCTCGTTCCATACCTCTCAATTTGAGGTTTCAGCACACGATAGCAAAGAGGGGCTTTTCTAAGAATTCGGTCGTGTCCAGCTTCACTTGTCTGACGAGAAAAACAGCTCAGTTACAACCGAGACAGAAAAGAAAAGCAAACTTCCTACAAGTGACGCATCAAGAGGAAGGAAGGTAAATTGAAACAGAAAACCCACACCACAAGAAAGCCACACACCCCCAAAGCAGCCCTTCCTGCACTTCTCAATGTATTTTTTTTTTTTTTTTTTTAATCAAAGCAGTTCCCATGGTGAAGCTGGAGACTTTTGTGAGAGAAACTAGCACTGGGGAGGTCACATTTGAAGAGAGGAGTAAGGGGCTGGACTGCCAATGGATTTGCCATTTGGCTGCACACAGTGCAGCTAGGCTCACTGCAAGTAAGCTGTTCTGGCCTCACGCTGAAATGTAAAGGTCACTCCTCCTTGGAGATGCGTTTATGCCATAAGACAGATTTTCAAAGGAAAAGTGCCACTAAATTAAAGACAAAGTGTTCAGATTTATTTGGAAATTCACAGTTTCTAATGGCACTACAGCTCTGTAGTTACAAACTCTTGTTCCACAACAACATATGCTGCACTCAGGTATGCATTTTCCTCATCCAGGTTTAAAACTCTTAAATCCAGGTTGAACAAATCTGGTTCATGTGCTCTGACTGGCTAATTGTGCAGATCAAATCCAAAAGTACATCACCTTAACGTATTCATAAACCAACAAGAAAGCAGCAAAACAAAACATCAAAAACAACGGTTTTAAATAAGTCACATACAATACCAAGGAAAGGCATTAGATCTGTTAAAAAGGGTACCACTAAAAGTGCTCAATAAGTTAACTTATTTTTTTACAATGTGAACCTGTAACATTTGTCAAAAGGAACAACCTTTTGTTCCACTCACTCAGATACACACAACATTTTCCCAATCACACATCCTATAGTATCCAAATATACAGTCACAGTCAAAAATAAAAAAAACTCTTGTACGAAAATATCAACCATACAAACACTGCACATTTGTTAGCCAATACAAAAGCAAATGCTACGGAAATACCCACTTTGAACCAACCCGACCGGTCAGACTTCAAGGCTTTGCAAACGCAGCACACCCAGAGCTGCTCTGGAAAACTCTGCCTGTCTGCCCCAACGCACCCTCGTGCTCTCCAGCTGAGCTTTCTCCCCAGCTCTCAGCACAGAAACAAATGGAGTGCCCTCCATTCGGCTCTTTTGGAAAACTACAGCAGTCGATTTTGATAACAAAAGCATTCGTTGTCACAAGATGTTCACAAGAAACACTAAGGAGCAACTGTCATCTGTTCAGCACATCAGGCTACAGCTCTGCTTTGTACCTGCAGGTGAAGATAAACGTAACTACCATTCCCAGTGAGACATTTTTCTCAATGGAGTTTGCAAAACCAGAATCCAGTCAGGCAAGTCCATCTATTAGTATTTTTACAGTATCCAGTCCACATTACTGAGTCCAGCTGAAAGCCAACACGTCCCTTTACAGCACTGTAGTGTTGCATCTTCAAAAACAAAAAAAAAGCTAGAGAAATTACAAAATAAATCAAATGACAAACAATTGTATCTCCCCTCTTCCAGTGGCATTATAAATAGACAAAAGGCACATAAATATGGGAAGGTGCAAGAAATAGGAACAAAGCTGAAGGAAGAGGATTAGGCTTTTATCCCTATTCCACCCAACAAACTGGGTTTCAAAAAATCTCTGCCCCAGGAACTGTGAAAAAAAACCTTTAAAAAAATGAACCCCCCTGCCCGCCCTCCCCCCATGCTGTTCTCATAGGAAACTTTCAGCCTCATAAAGCTGCAGCTTATAGCCAAGATTGACACAATCCCATCTATTTAAAAAAGGCAGAAACCAAATTTCTGAATACTTTCCAATTAGTCGAGCTCTTCGTCTCCCACCATCCTCCCACAGAATACCACAGACTGTTCTCAAATGAACAAACACTCTCCTGTTTGAGAAGTTCAGCTAGTTTTAGATGTGTCCAGAAACTGCCGTGACACCAAGTGTTCCCACTGTTATATCTTTGTTGCCTTTGATTATGTCATGCAGGCTTGGCATTGACCCTGACTTAGTCTGTATTAGAGTTTTTATGAGCTTCCCTTGGTCTGAAACTTTAGACCGTCTTCGTTTTATGGCCCTCTTCTCAGTTTTTGTCTTTTGGGCTTGTCCATTGCACAGACTCGTACAAGCTGAAATGCCACAGAAATAGGACTCCTCAGATTGCGATGATGTTTCTGAGCTTCCTTCAGATGGAGGGCCTTTATACGAAGAGTGATAAACTTCCCCAATGTTAGAGAAGTCCCTCTGGTTTGTAAACGGCTTCCTTCCTTTTATTTCCCCATTGGCTATGGGATGGGGAGGCTCTGCCGTTGGCTTGATAGTCTCTATCTTTTCACTTTTGTATTTGCAACGCTTTTTCTGAAACCACAAGTAAAAAGAGAAACAGTCAGCTTCTGAAAGGGAAGCAGGGCTAAGACCCAACCCTGGGGAGCAGGGCAGCAGAGAGCAGCTGAGAGGCACCACCTGCAGGCAGAACGGTGCTCGCACTCAGCCTGCATCCCTGCACCTACTGTACCTTCTTCTCTGGGGAGAACTTCAGGGGTTCTACAATGTACAGGTCCTCGGGATCCACTGTAAGAAAGGGCACACACATTCAGCACTTCTAACTGACAATGCCAGTTACAGAACAACACCGTTCTAACTACACAGGATAAGATATGCCATTTATCACACATTTTTGCTGCCATTATAAACTTATAGACAACACAAGTACACAGAAGTGAAGACAACACTGAAGTCCCCCTCATTGACATGGCAGCTGTCACCTGAAAACATCTCACATTCTGACATAGGAGGCCATAAGAGCAGAGCACACAACACCCTCTGGGACAAGGAACAAGCAGTTGGCAGAAATGAGCTTCTAATGTACAAACTGCTAGCAATATAATAGTGCTTAACGTGCACCTAGCAGCAAAAGCACCCATCAACAGGACAGACATTCAGACTGATGTGACATCAGCATTCCTCCATCAACGTTTTGAACATTTTTTTTCTGAGCCTAATAACATTTCAATTCAAGTAATGGATTTCTATGCAGTTTTATTCACTGTACAAGAACTGTGAAGCTGGTTTGATGCACCTGGAAGCACTGCATCGGTGGCATACCCAGTAGTTAATGTCACTATAATGCTGCACCACTTTTGTTTTTGCATGACAATGATGACCTAAGAAAGCAGAATTCACTTGTTCTGAATCTAACACAAATATTGAAGCAATGAGATTGCTCCTCTTAGTCAAACCAGGACAAATGAGGTACATTTTCTTAATACAGCTGATAAATTTGGATCCATAAATACCTGTTAAGTTTCAAGATTGACTACTTAGGACTTCCAAGAGGTAGGGCGTTCAGACTTGGTTTCTGGCATTAAAAAATACCACTTCCTACAAGCTTCATAGCTTTGTAGGCCTGCGTCGATTGTTACATATCTCAGGGAGGCTGTCATTTATACTCTACAAAATGCTAATGATGTATTTAGTGTTTTAGCCTAATTTAGCACCGTTCTGGGAGCGGTAACATTAATGAACCACCCTGCTGCACAGAACGTATTAGTGAACTACTACACTTCAGCACACTTTGACATGAACCCCCGATGCCATTTTCATACACACACTTGCAAATAAAACACACAACATATAGTGCCAGAACAATACTAGTCTTACAGGTGGATCATACCTTCTTTACCAGATAGCTGGAAAGACTGTGATCTGACCAGTGGGAGAGAAGTTCTTCTTTTCAAATTCATATCATCGTAAGAGGAAAAGCATCTAAAGCAATGCAAAACACAAAGCTTTTTTAAACGTGTCTTTCTCACGACTACATATTTTCCCATTAAGAAGCATTTTTGGCAGAATAGAATCAGTCATTCACCCAGGTGCCTGAGAAGGCCAAGCAAACAGGCACAGCACTGCCTTTAAGACATGCTACCAAGGCATCTTAAGTTCTCTGGCTCCACAATTGCTACAGAGCAGTAACTGCGCATTACAATCAAGAAAGTAAATCTGGGGTTAAAGCAGATTTGCCAGCCCCAGCAGATTTAGGAAACATCAACAAAAGCTGCAAAAACAATGAAGTCTCAAATACATTACCTTTTGGGGCTAGGGTAGTGATTACTTTTAGGAATTTTTGAGAGGTAACCTTCACAGAACTGAGATGTGCTTCTGCACCGCTGCACACAAAGCACCAAGCCCAGAATGACACAGAGAACCAGAGAAATCACAAGGTAGGTTTGTCGATCAGAAACCTGGAAGAATTTGATACAGCTGTTAAAGACTAACCAGCAATGCAATGGCTCTATTACCTTGCTTTCAACACGAGAACTTCAAAAGAGCAGCTGATACGTTAAGTCACCTTTCCTGTTTTTCTACTTCACGCTAACATTCAAGTTGGAGTAGTTTTCCCAGAGGTTTGATTTAGTGCAAGCTACGTGGCATTTGAGGACTAAAGGCTGAAAATCACTATCTGATAACGTGGGACAAGATTCCACTGACTACGGCACCACTGCTGCTTAAAGAAGCAGCTGCCCCTATAATGAATATAGAAGTCTTTCTGAAAGTGATGCAGTTCCCACAACCTATTGTGGAAATGTTAAGTTTTGATTCACTTTTGATACAAAATATCTCAACATTATGCTTTTCATCACTTGTCACTGCAGTACTGAATGAATCCTATTATATTCACTTGATTCAATGGGTTATATTTTCCAGACTATTTAATTTCACATCCTAGCAGGATCTTGCCAGTATGTTCCTTTTTGAGCATTCACAGATGAAGATTACTAGAATTACACAGAAGCTGAAATTCAGCAAATTATGTTTCAAAATAAATAGCAGTGTCCTATACCAATCTATCTCAAATGCACTAAGGGATGAGACCAGGAACATGACTTTCCATCTTGTACTGATGAAATGTCTCAGACAAATTGACTCTGGTGACTAGAGTTTAGGGAAAGTACGTATTCAAATCCCAGGACACTTGCCTGTCATAGCCTGATGATCACCAAGGTCAGATCCTATTTAAAAGCACAGCACTCACTAACAGGTGTTTAGCCAACTAGGCGTCAACAAGGGTGTCACTAAGTGCTAGAAAACAGCCCAGGACACCTTTTGGCAACATGCACAAAAAGAGTCATACTTAAAATATGGTTTGAAATCTCAGGCTGAAGAACGTAAACATTTGAAATACTCCTAATATTGGTGCCAAGATTCCCCTCATCTACACACATCACAATAGCCAGAGAGCGAAGGAGAGGGGTGTTTTAGACATGCTGGTCTGCCACTGAGGAGGGGGAAG